ACCTTTGTGAGCATTCTCAGTTTTATATCTGCTTCATTATTGTAGAAACTAACTTCCTGACAAGGGAAAGCCAGGAAAAACAAGCTATCCGGACTTTTAAAAGCATTTTTGTGGTACCGGAAATTGACCCCAAGGCCTTATACATGCGAAGCAAATATCCTTTTACCAAGCTGCATCACTAGTCCAACCAAATGCCTTTAAAAGCATGTAGGAGTAACCCATCATATAACCAAAATTTAATATATAGTGATAAATGATCCAGGATCTAGTCTAATATCCCATAAAACAACAATACAAATGTAACACAGGTGGATGCTACGTTTCCAGGTCAGTTTTCTGTCTTGGTATTCCTGGTGAACAAATTCAGTAACAGGACTGTATTTTCTTTCTAGGCACTGCAATGGACTTGCCACAGCCCAGCCTCAATAAGGTGATAGTAAGCCCAACAGCCAAGCACAGACATGACGACCAATAGTGCCCTGGCTTCATCCTAAACAGAGGGTGGCCAAGGAAAGACAGGCAAGGGGGCTGTACACTCAGAGCTCACACACTGCTCATGGCCTGATTCCTCAGATTATCTGTACTACAGTCCCCAAGCCTGCTATCAACACAGACCCCAGGAGGAGCACAGTATACAATCTCAGTGGTTGTTAAGGGAAATTTCACAATGGCTTTTTATATTTAATGGAAACCAAGTTAAAAGTCACATGTACAAAGACAAGTGTCTTAGAAAATGAAGATTCCCAGATATTACCTTGGTTTTCAGAACTTGAGGACCAGTTGGCAGAGATGGCCTGTCATTAATGTATAACACATGTCACTTTGGAAAGTAGTTAAGCAAGAAGTCTATTCCCAGGACCCAGAAAAAATAATTTTTCCTCTGATGTGTGATTTTGTGTTGGGGGAGAGAGAGAGAGAGAGAGAGAGAGAGAGAGAGAGAGAGAGAGACAGCGGGAGAGAAACAGCGAGAGAGAGAAACACACAGAGAGAGAAACAGAGAGAGAGAGATTCTCTTATAAGTTTTTATTGCAACTAGCCAATAAGTTCAATTTTAAATGAATGTATTAAGAGAAGAAAATCAATACTTAACTTGAAGTGTGCTTATCATATTTTGTTCTTTAGTAACCATGAACAAAAGAATGAGGGAAAAACAGGATCAGGAAAATAAAGTATAGGTGCAGATACAACCATTGGAAACAAGAAGCAGAATAATTAGAAGAATATGAAATTGCCTGGAAAATATTTATAGTGCATTTAAAACAGAGAAAATAAGCCAGAAAGGATATCTGAACTCAGCCCTGTTCTTCGATACTGACTTACATATATTTATGAAAGCAGGATTGGAGCTCTGTTTTGAAGATGAAATTTATAGATGGAAAAGCTGAAGTCCAGAGGTGGAACTGATTTCCAAAGCCCACAGGACAAGACTTGGGCCTGGACGTCAAGCCTTCACATAAACATGTCAAATAAAAGACTAAAAACCCCTTTATCACATTTTACTACTTATATGGACTCCATAAAACTACCTTAAACAAAAACTTTCATTTGCTGCTGTGTGCGGTGGTGAACACCTGTAATCTTATTATCCCAGAGATGGGAGCTAAGAAGAAAGAGAGTTCAAGACCAGTTTGAGCCCGTCTCAAAAATTGACAACAAGAACAAATTCACTAGCATTAGCCAAAAAAGAGCCTTCTAAAATAATTGTGTTGAATCGTTCTCATTTTACTTCATGCTTACATTTTTCCTATCAATATTTAGACTACTAAGTTCTGCTGATTTGATTTGATTCTAGAAGATCCACTCCTTTCCCAGCCAACCCAGCTCTCTGGGAAAACGATCTCATGAAGTAGGAACTGTGGGTAGCTCCGTAGTAGAGTATCAGCCAGCAATGTGTGAGACCCTGCGTTGGTTCCCTACCACCAAACACCGAAAATAAAAGCCAGCTCTGTCCTGAAGCCTCCATCACTTCTCCTGGTAATTCACTACAATCTCTAGAACACAACGATAAAGCTCAGTGCTTTAATTCACACAAGTATGCCACACAAGAGGGGACAGTGGGGTTCAGGAGACTGTTAACAGCTTTTCTACTGATTCTTTAGAAGTCTCCAGATAGCTGTCTTCACTGGCTAGGGTTAAACTATCCTCCAAAAGGAGGTTAACTCAGTCTGGGAATTCAACATTAACACTCCCCGGTACTCATTTCTACCCTTCCCACTTTTCAGCCCAATGCCAGGCTGATTCGGTCTCCTCGTCACACAAACCAAGAAGAGGTGATTTATGAACCTTGACAAATGGCAGTGCTGATCAATCCTGCATCCCTGTTTTCACCTTATGTTCTATCTGTTCCTCTGTGAGGCCCCTGGTAAGCAGATGGAATGACAAGTTTACCAGGTGGAGAAATAGTGATGGGTTTGATGATGGCGATGGAAGAAGGAAATAATTTTGACATTTAGTGAAACACGTGCTGCTCAGAAGAGAATGAAGCCAACTTCATGCAAAATGACACAGTGATCTTTGAAAGATGGAGCTTAAGGGATTTCTCTAACGGCACGAAAAATAAAGGAACAGGAAATGAGATTCCTTTCTTTTCTTTTGAGACACAAAGCCAGGTGAAGGCATTGCAGAACTGTGAGTTATCCTTACACCATCTGTTTTGGGTTTAGTGCAAAGAGCAATAGCAATCTGTCAGGACTAGCAGGTTAAAAGTAGCAAAATTTTGCTTGCAGTCTTGGCTCTAAAACTCAGAAATAAGTGAGTGATGCTGGGGAGGTGGTCTCACTTGGGAGAGAGGTACCACCTGCCCCACGGAGTCCCAGGATGGCTGTGCATGTAAACAATAAAACAAAGAAGCGATGTCCTGAGATCCTGAAGGTACTGTGCAACTCTTAGCTGCTGTTACAATCCCATAATGTACTGGAAAGGGTTAGATTAGATAACAAATGACAGTTGCCATGGCAGTGGGAAAAGCTGGCGTTTTGACTCTGGGGAGGGAAACAGAAGAGTGATAGGATTCCTATTACTCAGGTTGCAAAAGTGTTATGCTGAGGCACGTAAACTCCCTGAAATTAGCCTTAACCTGAAATGGACCTGAGGTGGAGAGGAAGATAGGACTGGGTGAGAGGAACATGGAGCAGTGGAGAGAGAGAGAGAGAAGAGTTTGGGTCAGAGCCAGCTTTCACCATGTGATTCTGGGAAAACCATATTCCTGAAGATGTGCCTCCCTCCCAGCTATGTTTTTCATTTGTAAAATTGGTAAATGAATGAATACAATAGCACCTACCTCACAGGGTAAAATTAGCTTCTTAACACAAAGTGCCTGGTACAGACCCTGCTGCATGGCAGGTGTCCATTGATGGGTGTTGTTATCTCATGTCTCCTAGGTTCATAGTGCAGCTGGCTTGGATACTGTCTTGGATACTGTCCATCTTGCACCCTCCCTGTATCTACCAGGGCAGCCTGCATCTAGGGCTCCATTGAAAGATTTATGTAAAAGCCATCTTTTCCCTAGTCAATCTTATTATAATCAAATATTTTATTCATTTTTCTTGTGTTGAAATTACTTTATTGATAGGACTATAAAGGACTCCTGCACAACTTAGTACATAAGCACTTAGGATTTCTAATGCAGCTGCTGACCCTAAAAGTGATGAAAATACAGAGAAGCACCCTGGGTGAATTCAGAGAACTGTTCTAATTTCCTTGAAAAGTTTCTCAGAGTAACATCAAAACAAAATACTCAACAAAAATGTTTTATTTTCTTGGATGGAAAAGGATCAATGATTTCTGATAGGTATCTGAAAGTAATTAGCCTGTTGTATGTAGGTTTATGTATGTGTTGTGAGAGAGAAAAAAAAAAAGAGAATTCAACCTATTTTTCTTCCGTCATTCTGCTCTACCTCTCCCTCCCTTTTAAAGAAAGTTTTGGGCTTCTTGGCCTAGTAAAGTCCAATTCATCTAGAGAAATGTTGATTTTTCTGGGAACCTTCAATGTATGGAGGCCCTCTCTCCCTCATTACCATCAAGTAGAAGGAGTTCAATTTTCCCTTTCCATTGTGACATGTTGTTTAAACTACTCGGCTCATTTTAGTCAAGACCTATTCCTTCTACATCCTCCCAAGATGAAGTACAGTGTTTAGAACCCAGTTGGTACTCATATGAATGTTGGTTGAAGGGATAATGGATCAAGCCCAGCTTCCCTTTCTAATTCTTTGTTCTTTCTTAAGGTTTGCAGAGGGAACAATGCAGTCCTATTGCAGGAGTTTGGAAGTGGGTCGGGTATGGGTTGGAACTGGAGAAAAGAAAACTATTTTACTTCTCCTTTCTATCTTCCCCGAGCAGCTGTATTACTATTTTTAAGTATATCATGGGAACTTCCATTCTAATTTAAGAAAACAATATTCTGCTCATATTAAATTAGGAAAATATGAATTTAAAACATTTCTTTAGCAATACACAGAGTATCTTACAATATACTTTGGCTACTTTTTCCAGTACAACCTTAGGGAGATTTTGTTTTTGACATTATCTTTATCTCTCCATGGTGATTAATAAGACATTTTTAAAGAAAACTCTATGTTAACAGACATAGATTCTCACAGATTCCAATAGAGCTATGCAAAAATTTTGTGAACTTTATAGTGTGATTAACCCCTGGAATCTCCCACTCACTATCCCTTTAATCCATGAGTCACATTGAATGTTCAAAGTATAGTAGCTGTATAAAGTCCTTTAAATACTCTGTGCATAGTCATAACAAGAATCCAAATGTTGAATGGATTAACACTTCCCACTGCATGGGGTCCTTGAAGGACACTGGAAACAAAAGCTCAATGTTTGTGGAATCAGGTTGCTTTTATCTCAGCACTCGTAACTCCACTTGACTTGACCATCACAGCAAAAGCCACAGCACACGCACATACACACACAGAGCAGCATGGAACTAACCACACAACTCCACAGATGATGCAGACGAACTTGAGTAGAAACCAAGATTTTTCTACCTCTTTTCATAACAGGTTAGTGCTGGCCCTCAGTGTTGGTGTACAGTTTTTATGGCATGGGAAAATAGGGAGGTTTCTGCCCTATAAAAATAAATGTGTTGAAGTCTTTAGTTTGAGCTTACACAATGTCAGAAAGTTCCAAAGGCACTGGCACAGTACAAAAATAAGAAAGAAAAGAAAAAAGAACCCCACAAACAAATATATATATCACCAAAACACACGCAAAATGTTAAGAACATTCTGAGAGGAAAGCTACTGATTTCTTGGATTAATGCAATAGTTTCTACCTCTTTGTGGAAAATAAGTAATAGGAGAGGTATACTAGTGGACTTTGGTGGGAGGCAATTGGCTTTCTACCAATCACCATTTGGCTTTAAATTGCTAATCTGACCATTTTCTCCTTTCGAAGGTAGAAAGCACAGAATTTTCATTGTCTTAATACGTTAACCCTAATGAAGAGCTCAGGAAAAGAGGCTAAAAATGCATGCATTATCATCAATAAGGAAAAGGATACATAGAACACAAATATAGAGAATAGTTTATTCCTTCGCCATATAGTTCATACTGTACACTCCTCTCCAAACCTTAGTTCAGTCCATGCAGCTGTTCCTGTAGGACACCTTTTTCTACTCTATAAAGGGGAGGGCAGAAAGTTAAGTAGGAAATAGGAAGTTATGATTTAAATAGAGGCCTTACCTTTGCTGTCACAGACTGCAAGGTAGGCAATGGAGCTAACAATAGGAAATTTTCACTGGCCTTAATGATTCCTAGTTCCTCAAAAAATAAAACTTACCACATTCTGTGCAAATTTCTCAAAAGATGTTCTGCGATCCATTGAGTTTCCAGACTTAAATGTGTGGTGTGGGGTAGGGTGGAGGGAAACAAGGGAACATTAAGAAGAAAGAAAGAAAAAAAAAACAAAAAAAGCAAGAAAAACAGAACAGAAAAAGACACGATAATGACGCACTGCCACACTGACCCGCATTTGATGTCCAGGCCCATGTCGCAGAAGGCTGCCAAGACGGAGGCCTCTCACTGCTGTGTCTAGGCTCTGTTTTCATGAGTGATTTTATTTTAAACACAATCCAATAGCTCTGTTTTTAAGCAAAATCAAATTAAGCAGAAATGTCCTAGATCGGAGGAGCTTTTATGCCTACGCTGGCAAAGCTCAAATGTCTGAAAACCCTGTGGCACAGCCTCAGAATTTACTCCTAATTTCCTATCAGGGTAGATTTCTATTGATAACATCATTCAGTATAGAATCTCTGTAGGCCTGATCTTTCCGAAAGGATGGACATTCCATTTGATGTTGTCTTTTACTAAAGCCTCTAGCTGTGGAAACTAAATACTTGAAATTTGGCTAGAATTTTGAGTAACCTCAATGAATTAAAATTAAAATGCAAATGCTGACACTCACCACCTGGGCAGTACAATCATATACATATGTTTCCAGCTGCAAATTGTCTGCGAAATGAAATCTTATTAACTTAAATGAGGAATTAACAAAACTATAACTTAATCTCAGAACTTTAAATATCTATGATTAATTTGACATTAAAAATAATGAATGATGTTGGCTTTTCTCGTTAGATTTTCTACATACTGTTAGACAGATCATAGAAATGATTTATAGATGGGGAGACTTTTTAAATAAACAGCAATTAACTAACGAAGTCTACTGAAACTCTCCCAAAATACGTTTGGCTATCATTTTGGATGAATTTAGTCTTTGAGATATTAAGGAATTTGGGATAAAAGTCAAATGAAAATATTCAGCTGCAAACACTATTCCATTTTAGCAGCCCCATTGAAAGAACAGAGTCTAATTTTAGCTGTGAACAAACATTCTAGCTTTGTAAGTCAACAAAACCGTCTTCAAGCTCAGCACTCCCTTTCCTTTATTGCAACTTCTTGTTTCCTTAAACTAGGAAAATGGAAGATTCACATTAAACATGAAAACAGATCGTAATAACCTTTGCGAAGCATGAACATTTGCAAAAACATCCAAAAATGATATATAAAGCAGTCAACAAACAGAAACGAAAACAACTTAAATGGCCCTTATGAAAGGATAGGTTTGGGGGAGGTCTTGGAGAATGTATACTTACCATTTTATTGAAACCCTGGCCCAGCAGAGATCATTATTCTGGTCAATTCTATCTAAAAACTAAGGTCAAGAGAGGTCACAAAGAACCAGTACCTTTCTCTTCGCCTGTAGAAGTTCCTGGTAGGCACTAGATCTTATAAAGCGTGGGTATGAGTCGCTCTTCATCAGCTTGTAAATGTGCTCCTGAAAAACATAGTAAGAGGCTCTTTTATTAGGCTTAGATTAAAAAGGAGTCACTCTGATGGGAATGGCTATGTGGCTAAAGAACAAATGTATCAGTAGCTAAAACTAATAACTGTAATGCTGATGAGAATGCCTTATATTTACAGGACACTTCCATCTTCCAGTTCATCATCTCACTCCTGGATCAATGTTTGCATTGGCCTTGGAATGCAATTCCCAGGGAATTTCAGGAGGGAAAAATCACACTTGCAATCATGTTAATAAAAGAACTTAGTCAATGGGGTGTCATGATATAACTTCAAATAAATTTGGCAATTTATATAGAACATTTGCAAATAGAAATAAATCTGCTATCTTTAAAATTAAAGCCTAAAGTGAATGACATGACATCAGGACTGTGCAGACATCCCAGTGGGAGATGCCAGATGCCCAGGCAGATCTCATCTTTGTAACAAGTTCATGAAAAAGTTAGTTTCCATGCCTATCTTAGGTCAGGTCTGGGAGAGCTCAAGAGAGCTGAGAGAGTTCAGACTCCAGTCTGAAGGATATCTGCTATGCCATGTAAGTGTGAGTTCTCCAAATTTGTGTGCCTTTTATTTTATTCACGCAGTGACACACTTAGTAGATGTTCAATCGTTCTAATCCTCCTTCCCCTTTGGACGAGGGATCGAGCCTCATGTATGACTGGCAAGTGCTCTCTGACTGAGCTGTGCCTCAGCTCTTGTATTTCACTGATGAATGTTGGTGAACAAGGAAGTCGAACAAAGAAAAAATTGCAACTCAGACTTTATCCAGTACCGGGAGGTTCTGCTCTGGTTTCCACAGTTCAGACGAGCTTAAATGCCCCGTGTGCTTCAAAGTCTAGTTAAATATCAGTTCGACATATGGTTCTGAACTGTGTGGGGGGTATTCTGGGTAGCCCACTCTCTTTTTGTTTGGAGAAAAATAACTATTTTAAGGAATGATTCTGCTGGTCTTGAATACTTCAGTAATAATTTGATGTTATCCCAAATCCACTTCCTGACATTTAAAATTAAATCTAAATAGTTAGCCTAAAGTTAATGTTCAAGAATATGATAACTTGGAAACCATTTAAGTTTACTTGAAAAGTGGAAGTAATATGTGTTTGGAGACAAGAATACTAGAATTCAGATTGTCTCTGCTCAAGAACAACCTTTCAGGAACATGTAAATTTGCAACATTTTATTCATTTCTCTGATCATTAATTTTCTAAACTTTAAACTAGTAGTGTTTTGAGGATTAAAGGACAGACGGATGTTCGGCAGAGTTTGAGGTATGGTCAGATACACTTAATTGTATACCACATACACTGCTAAAGCATTGGCCTTTATCAGTTCATTGAATGCTCACAAAACATTCAAGATGCTGATAGACATTCTTTCGCCACTTTAGCTAAGAAGAAACCAAGGTATGTGAAGACGGTGCTTGCAAGATGTCACTACGGAAAGCTCAGATGAGAACCCAGCAACTCAGGTGTGGAGTCTGCATTCCTCACCTTCATCTTCCATCTCTTGTAAAATAATGGCAGGGATTTTATATTGTATCTTTGAGGATAGACCAAAACACCACACACACACACACACACACACACACACACAGAGAGAGAGAGAGAGAGAGAGAGAGAGAGAGAGAGAGGAATTAAATGTGCTTAATTTCAGAACACCAAGACAAGTGAAACCCCTAAGACCTGCTGGCCATGATCATGCTTCTATAGAGATGCATTCTTTTTCATCTTATTGGAACCCCTCTAGACAAGGATGTTTGTCAGTGAGGCAGATAACAAAGGTATGTGCTGTTTAACACTTCAGGAAGGCCATTCCCAGCATTTTCACAACCACAGGCTGTAAAGCAATGCTTGAAATTTTACCTGGAATTAAAGGAAGATAAAATGGAAGAGAATTGAGCAATAGGGTAGGAGCTTTCATTCTGCTGTGGTGTGCCCAGTAGGATTACCACTGCTGAGGGGAGGAAATGGGGTATGCTTAGCGTGAAAACCTGAGTTGATTTCAACACAGTGGCACACATCTTCAAATAGAAGTAGAGAGAATGTATTTCCTACTAGGAGGAGAAATACAGAAGGATAGAAATATATATCTCGTTCTTCACCACATTTTAGTCTAGCTGTTATTTTAAAAGATACTGTTCAAAATTAATATTCTCTAAATGAAGTTTAAGAAAATATGAAATGTGCATGTTCTGATTTAAAATTCAATTTCAATAATCACTAGGAAATAATATTCTCTTCTCACAAGTTTATTTTTCTTCATCTTTTAATGACACGGGTACACACATACACAGGCAATACACACATACACATAGAGTAAAAAAATAAAAAATAAAAATAATCTTTATTATTTTTAATTATGTGTATTTGTGAGTGTTGGTGTGAGGGTATGTGCACATGAGTGCAGGTGCCCATAGAGGTCAGAGGCTTGTGATTCCCTGGAACTGGAGTTCCATGGCTGGTTGTGAGTCCCATACAAGAGTGCTAGGAACAGAACTCAAGTCATCCTCAAGAGCAACAGGTGCTTTTAACCACCCAGCCATCTCTCCAGTCCTTATTTTTCTTCTTAAGCACCAATAGTTTCAGAATGCAGAAATTCTAAGTGCTTCTATGAAAGCAATTCAGTTGGAGAAAAGAATACTGAAAATGTGTCTTACGGAGTTAAAATTTCTGTTTCTTCCTGAAAACCAAAAAATTAACTCCAAGAATTCATAACTACTTGAATCTAGTGTTTCATATTTCGCTCAGGAGAGACAAAACTAGCTTGACAGAGCTTTAAGCTAATTTGGCTCTGGCAACTCATAATAACGAATATTTGAGGAATGCCAGAATTTCCACATCTTTGTGTTGAAGATACGTAAGTGTGTGGTTCTGAAGTGGGATCCTTGGGGTTGTGGTTGTTTGCTCTGTTTGGGTGGAAAAAATCAAAACTTCAAATGTTTCAGATATGCTTTTTCATTAAGTTCCCATGAACAAGCATAAAATATAAATAAATAAATAAATAAATAATAAATACATTCCCGAAGTTTTAAAAGATCATTTACTTTGAAATGTCTTTGTTCTTTCCTCGGTCAATGAAAAGTGTTATACATCGAGTTCCCCGAACTGCAAACATTGCAGAGAGGCCTCACCCCTTTCCTTAGGACATGAGACCATATACTGACCTGAGCATCTTCGAATGTGTATCGTCCAGGTTCCTTCACATTCTGTGTGGTCTTGTCATAACTCTTAGAATCCAAATTAATGGCACTGGGGGCTCCGGGAGCCAGAAATTCTTGCCATATTTCCTGCACCCTCGAGGGCACCTCTCGAATTGGTCTTTTCTTCAGGTCCTCCACTGCCAACCAGAATCTGCAAAACATGATGCCGCTCTATGCCCTGAAGGCTTATCATCTGAAAAGCCTGATGCTTAGTCATTGCACCAGCAAATTCATTTTCTCAAGGGGTTCCAATAGCTGGCCTGTACTGGTTTTCTTTTCCCCAAGAGTTGTACTGGAAAGCATAAACATTCATTTTTGTTTTGTTTTGTTTTTTTAAGATAGGGTTTCATAGAGTCTAGGTTGGTCTTACATTTTCTCACTTGCCAAGAATGACCTTGAACTCCTTATTTTCCTGTCTCTACCTTCCAAGTGCTTAAAAAAAAAAATCCTTCCAAAAGGCAAATTGAAAATCACCTCTTTTTTTCTTATCTTTTTGAGCCAGGGTCTCCCTGTAGCTTCAGCTGGCCTGGAATTCACTATGCAGACAAGGCTGGCCTTGAACTCACAGAGATCCGCCTCTCTGCCTCCCAAGTGCTGAGATTAAAGGCGTGTGCCACCACGCCTGGCTGAAAACCATCTTTTTAAATTGGCAGTTACTAAAAGCAGATTTACCAGGAATCTGGTCCAATATAATCTCAATTTTACTGAAGCAATTTAGCTCTGCTATAAAACTGTTTGTTAGGAAGAGTAGTGTTAGATGTAGTAGTGCACACCTATGATAGGCAGACTTGGGAGGCTAAGGCAGGAAGCTTGACTTAGAGACCAACTTGGACAACATAGTGGGACCTTTTCCCAAAAAGGAAAAGCAGCAAAAGAAAACAAAACCGGCAGAGGGAAGAGGAGGTTGGGAATGTAGTTCAGTAGGTAAAGTACTTGCCTAGCATGCACAAATCCTGCCATGAAATGACCCAGGCCTGTAATCTCAGCAGTGGGAAGTGGAGGTTGGAGGATCAGAGATTCAAGGTCATCTTTTGCTACATAGCAAATCTACATGAAATGACCCAGGCCTGTAATCTCAGCAGTGGGAAGCGGAGGTTGGAGGATCAGAGATTCAAGGTCATCTTTTGCTACATAGCAAATCTAAGACCAGCTTGGAATACACAGAACCTGTCTCAAAGTAATGAATTAATTAAAGTAAATTAAAAAAGAAAGCAGGATGAGTTGGAATTGAATTAAAGGTTATAGTCACTTAAGACTTTCTAATGGGATAGCAAGGAAAAGTACTACATTATATTGTCATCTCTGAACCTTTTGTCTATTTGAAAAATGATGGATTGGAGAGCTACTCCCAGTAAGAGGAATTACCTCAAAGCTTTCCTCTCCTGGAATTAAAAGAGGCCTAGACTTAAAAACAAAAATGTCAGAAATTACCCTTGGTGAAAAATCAGGGTGCCTAACTCATTCTAAGCTTGCTAATGGAGAGTGTGGGAGAGTGACACGCACTGCAACTTTTAACAAGAGCATGCTTGGGTCGTTCGTAGTAAATGGCAAAGACAGCACGAAGTACACACTGTATTGTGGGACCAATCTTTGAAATTGTACTCTTGGGTTGCAACTTTTTTTGTTACATCTAGAAATAACATTGAAGAGAGGAATGTGTACACTGTCATAATTTGTAAGTAGAGAGGGACAAGCACCCACAGTAAAGGAACTGCCATGCTCTTCAATGGGCACCACTGCTGGTCTGGTGGTAGAAAGGTCATACAGAGAAAAGGTTAACACAGAGATAAGGAAACACACACTTCAGGGTCTCAGGGAGGTTACAAGGTGAAAAACAGCACTTCACACCTACTAGTTTTTGACTTGAGCCAGTATGAAAGTTGATAAAAATCAGCTATGAAGCACTTGAGTTAGAATCAGAGTATC